AATTTACGTCATTTTACTAAAATAAAACGCACTAATCGAATTTCAATGTTTAACACTTCATGTAAAAGAATCAGGTGCCCAACAAATAATTAAAACGAAGCCCTTATTTTTGTCAAGAAATATAAATTTAAAAATAAATCGTATCTCAAGAACGAATTGAGATATCATCATGAAATAAAGAACAGTTTAAAGAAAATTTAATGAAGATTTAATATACCATAAACGATGTCTTATCTTTCGTAAACTTTGTCGTTATGATTTTTTAAATCCTACTCTGTATATTTGAATGTTATAGATCTGATATATAAAGATTATTTTCTATAAACAATTCTTTTTAAATAAGTAAATATGTATATCATGAAAACATAATCAAAAGATTAAATTGAAATACCACATAATTTGGCAGCCAAAAATTCCCAAGGAAATCATTTTATTTGATTCAAAAAAAGAGACTCGCCCCTTAAAAACCTTGAATTAGATTATACCAGCATTATTTGGAGTGGTTTACACTCAATTTCAAATTATTTCATGTTTTGACAATGTTAATTAAAGCTTTATAATTTTTCAAGCGCAAAATGTAAAAGTTTATTGAATGGTACCGTTTTTCAAGCACAAATCCAATGAGTAGCGTTCAAACGGTTTTTATCTGACAACATTACACCGTTCAAATCGCGAATTATCCCGATATGTTTTGGTAAATTAATAAAATTGAAAACGACTCACCGAATGGATGTTGTTTCCCTTGGATTTTACTTCGAAGTTCTGCTGGAAAGAAAAGATAAATTAATTTATTGTGACAAAAAAATGAATTAATACGATACCTTTTAACATCCATAAAATAGCAATCCGATGATCTTAACTATATCACATCACCTAACACTTAGCATAAATATAGCACGTATTTATCACTTAATTCAAGTAATAAGTTTTGTGTTTCAAAACTACTTTATCACCCTTAAATGTCCGCACATCAACTAAACCCCGTTATTAGCAAATCAACTTCCAAACATCCCCTCCTTAATTTATTGTGTGAAGTAGGAATACTGGAGGTGAATAAACAAAAAACGTAAAGACGAGGCGTTACTCGTTTTCTCGAAACATTTCAAATAAAACTTACGTCATTTTACTAAAATAAAACGCACTAACCAAATTTCAATGTTTAACACTTCCTGCAAAAGAATCAGTTGCCCAACAAATAATTAAAACGAACGCCAAGACGTTGGATTATCCATCATCCCTTATTTTTTGTGTTATGAAGTATAAATTTAAAAAAATCGTATTTCAAGAACGAATTGAGATATCATCATAAAATAAAGAATATTTTAAATCAAATTTAATGAAGATTTAATGTACCATAAATGATGTCTTATCTTTCGTAAACTTCGTCGTTATGATTTTAAGGAAATCATTTTATTTGATACAAAAAAAGAGACTCCCTCCTTAAAAAGCTTGCATTAGATTATACTAATATTATTTGGAGTGGTTTACACTCAAATTCAAATTATTCCATGTTTTGACAATGTTGTATGTTCGGTCGTTCATACTTGCATAAACAACGATCCGAACACGGTATGTGATATCGATGTTAGTATGTGACAATGCGTATTACTTAAGCAGTTAAGAATTTTTCCAAGGCCATTCTAGATATCTTCTGGCGATTTAGAGTTTGATGCTAGAACTTTTCTTCAAACATGGTGTTTGTCCAGTGCAACTATCTACAATTTATTATAATTTAAAGTTGTTTAAGTGTAATTTCAGACATTTTTTTGCAGTTAGGAGTTTAACCAATGTATTCCAGACATTTCCTTGCAGGTTATACATTAAGCAATGTCACTTCAGACATTTCCTTGCAATTTCGAGTTTTGACAGTGTAATTCTAGACCTTTTCTTGCAGTTTAGAGTGTAACCGATGTGATTCCATGTTACTTGAACCCTTTTTCTTATCACCGTAGTAAAGTAGTATACAGACTTACTGGAAAAAAATCCCTGTGCCTATGGTGTGTCCCTGTACATACCATAGACACTGTAAAAATAAATAATAATTTAACGTTTTCTCAAAGGTTGTTTGGTCGATTTGGTCCAGTTGCTTAGTTACTCGGACTTCATTTCGTTAACCTTAACTTTTGGAAAAGATGAAGAGTGAAGGACAAAATTAATACTTATTAAAACTCTATACTTAGAACAGCCAATGCATTCTGTAGGGAAACCATCCCATCTCTCTTTATTCAAATGTGTATTCGCCCCACTTATTTACTATCCCATTTAGTGGAAAGCGAATCAATAGTGGTTATGAAGGTATTTTCAACCAAAATTGAACAGCTGATTCATAAATATTAAACAGTATGGCAATATACAATTTGAATAGTTAACTTTGCAATTTAAATCTTGCCACAAATAATTGCCACAATTCTTTCAAAAGAAAAAATGTTACAAAAACTTGATTTTTCCTTATATTTATCATTTTCATGTATAGGTACATAAAAAATATATATCGTCCTAAATTTGTTACAATAAAGAAGATGGTGTAAAATACTTTTTGCTGTTTTTATTTACATTCTTTATCATAAAGTTAAAGAACAGTTATCAAGTAATGCAACGTTAAGACGTCTGCATACGGGTGTAGTTTCCTTGCCATACGCAACACATTTTCTCTGAGTCTTAGCAGTTGCTATTATTATATGGTCAAATCTGTCAAAACGAACTTCAGTACGTACTCTTACCCAAACCTCTTTGAGTATTTGTGATTCAGGTCTCCGACGATTTGATTTTGTGGCACATAAACATGCAAGAACTCAGCAATCTAGCGTCGTATAGGAAGAGTTAAAATATTTTCTGCTGAATGCGTAATTTGATCCAGCTTATTAAAGAGATATTGCCGTTATATTCAGTTATCAATCGTGGTACTGGAACAGTTAATTTTAGCTAATTTTGGTACTGCATTTGGAATGGCAACCATGAAGTTTGTCTACTACTCTACTACCTAAAGGTCCTTCGTTTCCAGTTTATCTACTGTCCAATCATGATCCTATCGGCTGGAAACTGTTTGTTATGCTTCCCAGTGTTCTCTCCCTACTGCTGCACCTCCCCGCCTCATCGCATCCGTTCATCAGCACATTTTCTCTCCTCGTTATGTTCAGTCTCCATACTTCCAACCATCTCGTGTGCACTTCTATTTTGATATTCCCCTTTTTTTATTCTGCTATTCCATGTTTCACTAGCTTCGTACACCTTAACATCCTTGCTCCACATTTTTACTCTTTCTCCTGCTCGTTCTTTTTATTTTTACTCAAACCTTCCCTAGTACGTAGTTCTATATTCAAACATGCTGATTTTGGATTCCATTTTACCTTCTCCTCCATAGCTTACGCTCCACTCAATTATTCTGTGCTCACTTACGAATCTTCATTCTGGACTGCACAGTCAAAAGTCTCTCGTCTCCTCGCGCTCCTGATGTTAACCTGGACCTATTCATGGTGTGGCAGATCGGTTTAAGCAACTTAAACAGTCAGGAAATGAATCTTTTGGGGCACAAGTAGAGGTACTCATTAGACGCACTATTATTCAAAGAATTACAACTGATAACATAGATATGAGACGATTTTATATAACCGCACTCATACATTTTATTCATTAGTTCTAGTAACAGTGGTAGTGTTAGTTCTAGTTCAATTAACATCTTGTAAAAGTTCCTTCGAATAAAGTTAGATGAATTAAAATACTCCCACAGAATTCATCAATAATGAGGAGTAACATAATTAGATTTCGATGTATAAATTTATGACCAAATTTTAGAATATATTTAAAATAAAATAAGGTTGGTTAAATTATTCAATTTATATTATTTTCACAGATTGGATTCTTTCTATCAAAACTGTCTTTGTGGAGATATATTAAACTCAGACTGGAAGTGGTACGCGTTAGTGCTGTTATAAAATATCGGAGGGTATCGGGTAAAAATAAAAATCGGATGGTGGCGTAATAAAAAAAATGGGGGGATACCAGATTCCGTACTTCCGAATGAAAAAGGGGGCCATATATTGAATACTTCCGCTCATATAATGAACGACTGCTCCTAAGGTGAACGGATTCGCTGATCTCGGCGGAAGCTCGCAAACTCGAACTTTGACAATACCTTTTATGCGTGGGACTCACTCCTCTAACTTTTTTATTAAATCCCGCTCCTAAAGGGAATTCTGCTTGTCTCAGCTCTCATCTCAACTAAATTGAATGACGATAAGGTTTTATTGGGATTGAATTATCGTAAGTTTTATTAAAATAGATCATATTCTGTATGCTTTGAGGTTTTGATGTAAAGAAATCGGAAAAATTTTCCTTTAGGCTTTAGATGGAGAAAGAAGTTGTTTATATTTGTGGTAAAAATTCTTAATCAAGAAAGTAATATTGCCGCAGACTCTTATAACGTCGCATTAAGACCCATTTTTATCCCTTTATATCGCGTGGTAAATAGTTGGCGTGAACATAACGCTGCAATTGCTTGAAATTTATTTGATGTAATAAAAAGGATATGAAAAAACCGTGAAAATATTTTTACGCATTACTTTTTAAGACTTTATTATTAAAGCAATAATAATAAATAATAATTAATTCATGTTAACAATTCTGTTAGTTCAACTTGTGCAATTTCTATCATTACAATAGATCACTATGTATAATCCTCCCTATAAATTGCGACCGTATATGGAAATTGTGGCACGTGAACAATAAAGGCACTGTAATATAGCATTCCACCGTGAATGAAATTCAATAGAATACTCTGACCAATCAATTGTAATACCTTGAATTATACATTATCCATTCATCCTTTTGCAACGAACATCGAACGACATTGAGTTAAATACGAGAACTGATTCTACTCTATTGAGCATAAATGTGCATTCTACTTACTTTCCTATCCGTTTCTAATTCATTGACATAAATTTAGTTGGCTGATTAATTAACTGTCAAATAAATAATAGTTTTCAACTTAAAATAAGCAATTTCATTATAGATTACAGCATTGAATTTAATCGAAATGCATACCGATTTATCGCCACATTTACATACAGAAGAATGTCAAAAATTGATTTTTGCGTTGATAAATTGTCACAAAGAAAATCCTTTCTTAAAATTTGTTGGTGTTTGTAACGAACAGGACTCTGAAATGTTGAAATGTCTAAAAGCTGAACGAAAACAAAGACAAAAGGAAAACCTTCGAAAAACCAGAGAACGTCTTAAAAGATTACACCAAAAGGAATTATAGTTAAGCAAGCATTTAAACCGTATAAGAATCTAATAAATTGTTTACCATATAACCTTTAACGTGCTTATCTTGTCGACACACTCACATGAATTCTGAAAATACTTTCTCTTCCCCTAAATAGTACTATGGGATGCTTGCTCCTGGTTTAATATATCACCGACCGTATCAACAAATCGAATCGGTTCTATGTAATTTCTCAAAAGTCATTCGCCCCAGGGGTTGTACCCTAGGGCGCAAAAATCAACCGTAATACCATGTCAATTTATCTCTCTTTATACCATTACACTACACATTTACTATTCTCTACTAGATCCGATAACATTCCCGGTGTTAATGGTCTTATACACATGAGGATTTGATAAAAAATCGTAAAGATCGTAAAAAGGGCAGTATTATTGAAGGGGAACACCTTTTTTTATTTTTAAAATAAAATTTTGATTTTCAAGGAATTAAATAATAAGGTTTTAAAATGGGTTAAGCCGATAGGACGTCATATAAGCAAAATGTTGTATTTTTGTAAAATAAATATGTAGGTATTTGTAAAAAACTACGAAAATATGATTTTTTTTAAAATGTCATAATTCGTAAACCATGCGAAATTCATTTCTGTTAACCTCGTACGGCCTTCAGAATTACACCGTAAAAATCTGTTAAACTTTTCCCTAGTTATAACCGAGTTAATCCAAATTAATTCTTTCTTATTGGTGGCTACGCTTTCAACTAAACTATCTCAGAATCCAGATACAAAAGTGTTGATATCATTGTGTAGGTTCGCGATATGATTCTAACTTCAAAATCATAAGCTCTTATTGCAAGAGGTTATAAAAGACTGGCATAAATACAATCGAAAGTAAAATACTTTTCGTTCCGGATATTCTATAAAAAAAATATGAACTAATGGTGTATAACATTTCTAATCGTTTCGCGTTTATACTACTGATTGCTAACGGATTTAGTATTGACTATGTTTTTATTTTCTTGTGGAACTTTTCCACCTTGGACATCACTACTATTTTATTTTTCTAATCCCCAAAGATCATTAGAAGTTTTTTCAAATACGCTAGCAAAGTTATATTAAAATTATGATAAAGTGTAGTAATTCTGTAGAAATTCTTCCTCGACATTTTAACGGATCCATACGTTTTGAGGGATCTTGAGTCCACGTGGACTAGTGCATGACATTGAACATATGTCCTTATGTATAATACAAATCAAAAACGGGATTAGTTGCGGTGATGATATTACATGGCTATTAAACTAAAATCGCATATATGCATAAGCATTTGCGCCATGTCCGTCATATCTTTAGGTAAACGAGTAATTTAATATAATTAAACATTTTAATGTTAAGATGTCCTTATAACTATGAAAACCTTTAGTTTTTTCATAAAAACTGACACTTTCAATTGAGACATATTAATCAAATGTTGTATAACCAGATTTAGTACTTAGAATGGAAATGCCATGTTAATGTTCTTCTTCGGTCAGTGATTAACGGTTAACATGTTAACTAAGAGGAAAGTTAACTCTGTGCAACACTTGCAGAGATGTCTTTGAAGATTAAAAACCTTATTAAAAACCTGAGCTATATCAAGGAAAATCACTGAGTAGTATTATTTGTTTTCTAGGGGTTTCTTAGGGTGTGCAGATTTTATCAATGGTGGAATGTTGACTGCGAAATCTAAATTGGTGGTCCCTAATCAATTCTAACTATGAGGGGTCGATCTTTTTTCATACACTCTGGAATGTTAAATTAAAAAATAATAATGAAATGAAGCACAAACTTTATAATCATACTAAATAGATAAGTACAACTTTAGCGGTGTTAAATTTTTCACTTAAAACACAATACCGTATTCTGACGTTCATTCAAACATTGTAATTTCTTACATCATTACAAAAAGTATAAATTGCGACTTACTCGATTACAATTCTCAATGAGCTTAACAAAGTATAATGCTTGAGCTGGAGTTAACTCGTTAAGCAAATGTTCTACATCGACGCCATTCCCATAGTCATCAATTAACTTATCTAATTGTCGACTTTGGTGAAGTTGGTTAGAGAGAGCGCCTGTCGATTTTCAACTAACAGAATTCTCAATAAAATTAGAAGTTCTCTAAAACTTCAACTTAAAATTTATCAAACATCTACTATGTTCGTGTTGCATCCACAGAATAAATAATAACCCGAAGTGAAAGGATCGCTATTATTGTTGCTTTGAGCGCTTTGTCGACAGTTTCATGACCTTGACTTCGAAGCGAATTTATACATAATCACATATCCATAGGCGTACGTAACGAATTGTGTTTTGTATGAATATATTTTACAAATGACATTTACAGGATACAAATGATAGATTCTGTTATTGAATCTTAGATTCTGCTATTGTTTCTATTGAACTCTGGGCTCACCATAACATAAAGACTGGTTTTCACCCATTTTGGACGAATATAATCTCTCTCTAATATATATTTTGTATAATATATGTAAAGCACCGTGCACAACATACTCTATTGTTACGTCAGATGAACTGTAAAAAGAATTGTTAAAAATTAAATCCTTGATAATAATTTTAATTAAATCAAATATAATATTTATGTTTAAGGAAAAGAAGATTTATATTAAATAAATCAAGTATATGTTTTATTAAAGAACCTAATGAAATATTAGAGAGAAAACATATATATTTTAATAAAGTTTGAAGAAAAGGTTTTCATTTATGCAAATATAATGAGGGTTTAATACAACCGTAATCTCTTGGGGCTGCTAGATGGAAGAATTTGCTGCAAAACATTAAGTACATAGTCGTCGTCATAATGTTCTTGTTTAAACGTAGTCCTCAAAATTTAAACCAAAAGCCGCAATTCTGCACTGTCGGTCTGTTTTCTCAAATCAACAAGCGAACGAAACTAACATTTTAACTAGCCCAGTGTGCATAATACATTACAGTTCCGGCGAGCTATCTGCGCCGCTAGTCGCCACATAAAACGCTTTAATTAAAGCCAACCTCAATTTTGCATGTTTATCTTCTGCACTGAACTCCCGTACTTCCCTTCCTGGGTCGCATTTGCATAAATAACGACTCCGGTTAGGAATATACACACGTACAGCGAGCGACGAGTCCACGGACGCCCGTAAACTTACCGCCGAAATGCCATAAATCAATAACGAGCAGGGAACGGAGGAGGACTTTGCCTGCATTCGTTAGCTTCTCTATGGACTTTTCCACGAGTCATTCGCTTGAGCATCGTCTGTGTATACTAATCGCTCATTTCAATTACGATTAGATTCATTGGTAGTTGGGAATAGTATTGTTTTTGAAACTGTCATCGTTATATACCTTTATACACATGTTGCTTCACCACACATGATTGAGTCAAGATTTAACAGTTAACATGTCTTGTTCAGTTATGTATTATAAAATGAGTTATATAGGAAATTTATTCAGGAGGAGATTTTATTTGTTCACTTAATATTCAACTATATCTATTAGTTGCTCATATCAATTTCGATTAGAAAGTATTGTTATTAAAATTGTTATGGTTATGATGCATAACACATGGTAGAGTTGGCATTACTCAGTAGTAAACATGTCTTGTTTTAGTTATGTAGAAAAGTGTTATCCAGAATACGGAAAATTTACGCCGCCACATGTAACCACAGGATCAGTTTACAACCTCGTATAGCGGACGCGTAGCTCCTTTGGGAATACGTACATATAATATATGCAAATTTGGGTTAAATTACACGACCACACCCAGAGTAAATTTTTTTGTTGTACCCAACCAAGCCGTGAACAGACCTCAACGAAACGAAATTTGCATACGACTCGAAATATAAAATTGTTCCGCGATGTATTTATGTAATTCAAGTTGTACTTGGACGAGGGTTTACGGTTACAGGTCCCGGGCGGAGCTCGGTACTTCGGCATAATGTACCGCAACGTCGGCGGAATAATGCAAATCGAATTGGTTGTGTCTTGCTCTAGAAAGGGGAGGCCGAAACGGACCACCAGACAGAGTACAAATACACCAGTAATTACTTTATTTCCATTTCAAATGCCCCATCCACATCGAGCCCATTAGTTTGTGACGATTTACTTTCGACCCCGAGCGCGTTGGGCTATTAGAGCTATTAACTTTATCTTTGTGGGTGGAGAATTCCAAATGTATATCCCGTTGCGAATCGCGTGAGGGGGAGATCTATTGAATGTAACGGAAACTTTTATTACCACTTTCCGTTGTGGTCAGCAAATACATTACTTTCTTTTTATGTAATATTAGTTTAGACGACAAATTCTTAATTTTAAAAGAATAAAATTCACCTATTGTTTTTTTTTCCTAATAATAGTATGTTTTGGTATTCAAATAAACTATTGCAAAATCGCTATAGATTTTATCAGATTCCCACTCAGTTTTCTTAAAGTTCGTTGAAATTTATTAGATTTTGAGACAATTTTGCCTAGTTTTGTTATTAGCTTTTGCTATTAGCCTGTAGATTTATGACAGATTATATTTAACGAAAAATGTGTACATTTCCATATTATACAGGTAAAAGTCAGTACAACTAAACTTTTTAAATGATATTATGGGGAAGAAGACTTGTTCAAGCATCCAACATAACATTTAGCAATAATTGCGCGAATATTTTGAAATACGCACATTCGTCATAGCATTACACCCAACACATGATTATTATAGTATGATTATATGTATGTGTTATAACATATTACTTTCTGCAGGGAGAAACTTGTAAAGAAGGACTGGTGCAGACTCTGGAATCAAACATATCAGTACAGATAGACTCAGTACATTCGTGACGTTTCTAGGAATCTCTTTTCAACTGTTGTCAGGCTGAAGTCCGGTCATGGATGTTCCCGTGCCCATCTAAATAAAATTAATATTTTACAGTCTCCCAATTGTTCGTGTTGATTTGAGACGGGGGATTTAAATCATATATTTTTCAACTGCGATAAATACGAATCATATCGGCCGGAATTCATCAGTTCTTTGCTATTGCATGGTTTCTCCTTGCCACTTGATGTTATA